GCGGAGATGCGCGACTGGCGCTGCCCCTGATCTTCGGCACCCAGGTACCCCTCGACAAAGCACCTTCGTCGGACCTCCTGGAACGAGCCGCCACAGGCGAAGCCGGCGCAGGTGCATACCCACTGCGCTCGAAAGCTGCCGCCCTTTTCTCAATGGACTTACTGCGGCTAAGCGGACGTCTTCGTTCCTCAGTGGGGTCCTGAGGTTGCTGCTTGGGCACAGATGCTGGTGTAGGAGCTGTGCCAATCGGCGGCTTCGGCGTCGCAGATCGAGACACCTCCATATGCACGTCTGGCCCAGGGCTCCGAGAGCTCGCCGTCGGTTTCGGCGCCGGAGGCGGCTTAGGTGTCGGGGGTTCACTCTTGGCCTTCGAAGTTAGTGGGGGTGGGGGCTTTCTAGCCCCCTTCATGTAGAGCTTGCTGGAATCCTCCAGCATCTTGCGAGTTGCCTCGCGTGTGCGTTCTTCTACTGTCCGAATATGCTCCTCATCTTCCGCCACACGTTGAGCCTTTGTCTCGTCCTTGATGATCGGCTCTGGTTGTTGGGACTGGCTAGAGACGCCAGGCGAGTTTCCTCGCATACCAGGAAGACTAAAGAGCGCGTCTTTCTCTTCCTGGGTCATGGCTACCATTCCCCTTGGAGCCGGAGTAGGTTTCTCTTCTTCTTTCGGATCCAAGTGGCCCAAGATCCCGAGACGACTACTCACTACTGCGATCTCTTCCGGTGTCATCGGGTCAAGTGGCGGATGGCCCTCTTTAGGAGGGGTTTTGCCCCTGTTGGGGCTCAGGCCTTCGTTGTTTCCAACGGGGCATCCTGGCCTGTGATTCTGGAACGGCTGGGAACAAGGACCACATGCAGCGTGAGGCCTATACTGCTTGCGAGCCGCGATAATATCTCGCAACTGGGTCCGCGCTTCTTGAATTTCAGGGCGGCGGATGTTTGTTGCAAGCTGATAGCCTCCACGGATGGGCCTGCCATCGCCGTCCCTATAGGCAGGATTGCCCTGGCCAAAGGCCGAGTGTTCCCCTTTTCGGCGTCGTGGGTCGTTGTACGGAAGTAGCTGGCCTGTCTCCACTCACGAGGAAGTCGAGCCTGGGGATGTGGCTCTTCTCTGACGCGCGTATGGGAACGAGATCTTCTGGTGATCGCCTTCTACTTCTTCTGATGTCGAACTACCAATTATGATAGCCATTGGCGCATCTGGTAAAGGCAGGTTTCCCTGCATGGCCGGCGTCTGGGCGTCGCTCGGATGTCCTGGAGTAGGAGGCGCAGTCGTCGGCTCAGGGTCATCGACGGGCATAGGCTGCCTAGCAATGTTACGCATGGCCGTATGGTTTGGCCTCATCCCCAGCTCCTGGAGATTCCATCCTGGCGGGGGAAGTTCATGACCACGCATAGCCATTGCCATTTCCAGGGCACGACGCCATCTACCACGGGAGTATATCAAGTGTCTCTGCACTTCCTGAGGATTTATACTGTCAATGAGAGTCAAAGCTGCCAAGAGTAGCTCTGAGCTACCGCAAGCATCATTATCCTGTTCTGTCATGATGCCAGCTTCGATGTGTTCTTGACTCTCAGGATAACCAATTGTGAGTATCTCATGCATCCTCATGAGGGTCTGCAAAAGGGTACGTGGTCCATATTCGCCTGGAGCAAGCGAACCAGGAGGTATGAACGGAATATCTGGTTCGCCTGCAATGAAGGCCTGAACAAATGCCTGAGACTCCATTTCGATTAGGTCTTCAGCGGTCTGGGGATATTCCCCCATCAAAGAGGGCCTGTTTCCAGGCGGGATTTCGGGCGGAGGTTCGAGGTTCCGTTGAACCTCGGAAGGCGAAGCCTCTATAGTGGTGTCCTCGTCGTCGCTCTCGTAGGCCATGATGTTGCCTGGGTTCCCGAACATCCAGTCGAAGAAGGAAAGAGGCTCGTTTCCGAGCGTACCGTGTTCCACGGGAGTGAGTTCATTACTGCCCATGACGAACCGGCGGACGTATTCGAGGTAATACGCGTATAATCCATGACCATACCCCTCGAGTTCGTCAATGTTGTCCATGCCAACGACCCATGTGAAAAAATATCTGTTCCATAGCCTCAAAGTCCTGGAGGCTCAGATACTCAATGGATGGTGTGCTTGAGCCGAAATGGACTTCGGACGACATGCCCTTTCCATTTCCCTTCGCTGGACAATCTCGCACAAGATGATCGGTACTACCACATTCATGGCATTTGAGAACCTGGCCGTCTCTACCTCGCGGGTTTCCCCGCCTACCTTTACCTTTACCTGAGGTCTCTCTACGGCCTTTACCGCGGCCTTTTCCCCCAAAGAATATCTCATCATGTTGTTCATCTGAGAGCCTCTGGAGAAATGCCGCGATACCTCGCCCGTTCAACCTCCGACGACCACGCTTGCCTTTACCCTTTCCTTTAAAACTTCTGCGTATCCTCCTTCTAACACGACGCACTGGTTTTCGTGTGAACCTCCTCCACCTTCGTTTAGCCTGTTGTAACAGCCAGAATAAGTGCTCAGCACGCTGATTGTCGTTATCCATATTCATGATATCTGACCAATCTAGAGCTTCAACACCATCTGATGATATAGTGTCTGTATCGGTGCCGGAGTCGAAATCTTCGTCTCCTAAATAGGTGGATACACCGTCGGTTAGGGGATTTGATTCCCCCCATAACGAGCGGTGGGGTTGTGGTTCTCTAGAAGGAGGGCTGGTTGCCCAGCTTGGTTGTGATCGATCCCCTGCTAATAAAGCAGTGGATTCTCCTGGGTCATCGGCCCATATGTTTGAGGGCCCGTTTCCAGGCTGGGCTTCAGTAGTCAAGGTAGTGTAGAAATTTCCACTACCAGATCCCCTTCCTCTTCCAAACACGGATCCTATGTTGCCAGGAGATCGTTCGGATAGGTGGCCTACCGAACGCATCCTTTCCAGCAACTCATCATATTGTTGTTGTGTTCGAGGCATTTGGTGGTTGAGTGGCTGTAAGAGTTGCATGGCTTTCTGGTTGCCGACGCCTAAGGCGCGGAATAGGATAGTGGTTAGCAGTTGGAAGTTAGGAAGGTCGAATCCCACCGACTGTGCCTCAAGTCGGGCCATTTCGAATCGGGTAAGAGTGACATCGATTCGTTCCCCGTGAGGCACATGGAAGTCGATGAGTTGTGTGCCGGAAGTGAGCTGTCGCTCATCTTCCAGGCGTTCGAACTTCATGCTGAGGAGGAACATGATGTAAGTTACTGGGTCTGTGTGGACCCCATCAATGTCAGCACCATAGTTTATAATGTCAGGCGGTACCCTCATGGCGAGTGTCCTCGCTAGGCCTCCCAGGCCGCGTTGTATTGCGGCCGCTTGGGCCTGTGGCGTCATACGTCCGCTTGTAACGTTGAGCCACGCGTTGACCTCGTAAATGTACTCACGAAAAGGTACATTACCCTGAGGGTCCCAATATGGGCCATGTGTTTGCCCATCGGTGCTGTTATCTCCCCGACGCATGTGTGCGATTGCTGCCCCCAGCGCGAACCATATGATAGCGAAAACGATTAGCCCGAGAATGTGTAACGAAGGACGGTTATGATGAGCGGTGTCGCGCTGGGGTAGCGCCTTGTCGAGTCTTCGAGGCGCTCTGTCTGGCGGGTTTCCCCGCCCTTGCTTCAGGTATTGCGTTATTGGCTCGTTGCCGAGCGGTTGATAGTAACGCAATGATGAAGCGTATATGGTACCAATCTGGTCGTCTAGACGTCGTACCTCTCGTGTCGCTTCTTGCTCTTGAATAGATCCTCGTAAATGTACTGGGAGTGGTGGCGCAGGGTAGTAGGTGGTCACGAAGATCGTGCCGAAGAATGTGAGGCTAAGAAGAGCAAGAGCTGACCACACGAGAGTGCGGCCAGCTCCGCTACCAAGTCGAAAGTGAGCCTGGTAACTCAAATAGCATCCGATTCCAAGGCGCTGACCGTGGACATCGGATGGCAAATAGCGTCCATCGCTCTGCTGTGAAGGTACAGTATGAGGAATGGGCGGATAAGATAGGATAAGATCGATGTAATGATCTTTCCAGCACATAGCGAACACAAGCAGTGTCCGGGCAAATAGGGCGCGCGTGCCTTGAGCCCAAGGCAGCGGCGCGCGAGCTATGCTCACGATACTGTAACATCTCCCAAAGAGCTACCCTTAAAGTTGGAGGAACTCGAGCTCCGCATCGAGCCGCATCGGCGATGCATCGGCGATGCGACGCGATCCTCCGACGCCATCTACTCGAACCCCATCTGGGAGGCCTGGGCCCAGAGAAACATTGTGCAGGCTCTGTGAGGCCAGGGCCCTGAACTCATGGGTGCTGGTGAGGCTTGTCGCGCCACGTCTGCCACACGGCAACAAAACACTTCTTCCACCAAAATGCTTGCGCCCCAAAGAGGGGGGAGGGAACATGAACTTGCCTGGGGGGCCCTACGAGGGACCCGGCACCCAAGAAGGCCCATGGAGTTTCCAGGAGGCCGCAGGAGGCCCCCAACAGGCGCCAAGAGGCTATCAAGAGGCACCCCAAGAAGCATCCAAGATGACCTGGGCACCCAGCCCAGGAACGGTAGCAGGATGGGCCGAAGAACACTACATACAAGAATTACTCGCCAACTGACTGCATGCACGACCGCGGACCTTTGCTGACAACGCGCCTCACTTCCAAAAGGAAATCAAACCGCAATGCGAGCATGAAAGCTACTGTTTGGGCTTCCCTGATCGCAACAACCCACAACGCCCGTCATCGCAACGGGCTGCTAAGATGCCTGCCGATACTGCACTGATTCTGCGGCTTCTTTGTTCAATACCTTTGAGGCGAACTCGAATTTAACTACTTACGTATGTATACATGCCTTGGCCTGCTCGGACTATGACCACCTATCTTTATCGCATCAACTCGTGCTGGAGCGTGCCACCTGCCGTCAATGATTGCAACCCGCGCCTGACATTCTACATGCCAAGGAAAGGTGTGATCAAAATGCTCGCCTGTGCCTCGGCAGACATCGCGAAGGATCCTGGAGTGTTTTTTTTCTTCGGTGCCTCTTCAGACACCCGCGCGATGACCAACGGGAACTCGCATCTGCAAAGTCTCAGCCTGAGCAGCCTGCCCACCACAGCAAACAGCCTTCAAATCAAGCCCAAGCTTTGCTGCAAGAGAACCGGGAGATCAGCTGCTGCAATACAACAAACCTCCGCCCTGCCGCGCCGCACATTGCCCACAGACCCTCCCCCCCGCTTCCACAACGACTCACACGAAACGCAACGTCTCAGCTTCACCCGACTTCCGGCCCACAGGCAGGCCCCGAACGTCTTGAGACCGAGCCGCGTGCAACATCCGCTCCCCTGCACGCTGCACCTGCAGCACCCTTGCGCTGGGACGCCCCGCGCCAAACGGGCCGCTGCCCTCGCAACGCACAGGCCGAGCAAGAGGAAGTCTTGGCTCGAAACCGCGAGGCGGGGACACCACCCGGACCACACCGCCCGGGGAGCCCACCTCCTCGGACCCTGGCGGGCGGTGGCTCTGGATGCGGCAGCTTCGTGCCGTGCCGACTTCGGCGCTGGCTTCGGACACCGCGGGGGTCGCTCAACCCTGAACGATCGTCCGCTTCCGGAGCGTCAGTTCAACCAACATCGACCGACTCCGGGTCGCCGGCGGCGTTCTCAACGTTGAGCGCCGGCGGCGGGGTCGCCGTCGGCCGACACACACATCCAAATCAACCGCCTGCTGATGGGGAGACTAAACAGTACCCATAGCGCTACTCCCCGGACCCATCCCAGGGTGTGTTCTGACCGCCATTTCGAGGCGAATCCAGCTGTGGCGATGAGAGCCTCCCAGGAGGCCCCAAAAAGACGAACATGAGGGAGAGGTAGCGGCATATCGGTACCTTTATTTCTCCTCTGATCTGAAGTTCCCGAATGTTGGTCCCCCAGGCGGGTGGCTGTGGATACGTCCCCACCTAGGAGAAGATCGGCGGCGAGCGAGGGGGGGACGTGAGAAGGGGCGGGCCTTCTCAGAAGGCTCAGAAGTCCCCTGGCATTCTGACAAGTTTTCTGAGCCTTCCCCGAATACACAGAAAACTGCTCAGAAGGCGCGAGGGCGAGGGCCTCTGAGAAGTCCCGCCGCCTTCTGAGAAGGCCTTCGGTTCGGGGCGGGGCCGCCATGGGCGCATCTCTGCCCCGTGCGGCGCGGCGGCTGCTGCAAGAGATGCCCGAGAGGTGCGACGCGGCGGAAGGCAGCTGTCCAGGCGTGCCGGTGTCTCTGAGGCATGCGAGCTGCGAGCTCCACTTGTCACAGAAGTAACTGCTCGCAAATGGCCTAGATCTGCCGCGGGGGATTCACGATGTGTCACATCGGGGCAAGCACATGTTTCTTGTTTGGACGTTGGCGAGTACGTAGGCGCTTTGCGAGTAGTGGAACGCGCTCGGTGAGTCTACATGGCCACGCACGGCGTGACAGCCAAGCCGCGCACGCGCCGCAACCCCCGCCGAGTGGGGAGTCCTCAGAGGACCCAGTCGCGGGCGGCTCAGAAATCTTGGTCACGCGCGGGGGCATGGCTGGATCCTGCAGGCGGTTTGTTTCCGCGACGGGTCGGGGATGCCGCGGAGACGCTGGGGCAAGGCAGTCGCCTGGGCACTTTGGGTGGCGGCGCAGCCTTGATCTTCGCGTGAGCAAAACATGTTTCGGCGTGAGCAGTGCGGTTTTCCCAGTGGCATGCAGTGGCTTGCTCTGTGGCATTCCTCGCGTCAGCTCAGAATATTTAACGAATATTTGTCTCGATGTGATATGAGGCTCTCGTATTTCAATCACAAGACTGCTCGCCGCATGGGCCCCACCGCCAGCCCGAAAGGCGAGCGACTCATCGGACGTACCCATGTAGAAACTGCCAGGGGTGTATGCCACCCATGTGGCGCGCCATAGGTTGCGTGGTCCATGCGTTGCGCCTCGGGTTGCTCCATCAATGCGTTGCGCCGTCCATGGGTGGCGCAATCTATCGGTTGCGCGCTCCGTGGGTTGCGTCATGGGGTGCGCCACCCCTGGGTAGCGCCAGTGATTGCGCCATCCGCAGGGTGCGCCATGGGTCCCGCCATGGGAAAGCGTTGTTGTATTGTTCGCGATAGCGGCAATCCCCGGCCCCGGCCGCTCTCCCCCCTCCGGGCAACGTCAGCATTCGTGCTGCGCCAACGCGAAACGCGAAATTACCACCCCCCCTCCCCACCCCTCCCAGGTAACGCCCGTCATCGCCCAGGAATGAAAAACACGCTCTCTAGATTGCGCACTCTGCTGCCGAACTCAAACGAGCCCAGGCGACCCCAGAATCGAATCGATAAGTCTGATCGGCGATCGAGATGAATCGGACTGGCAGAAATCGGAAGCCGAGCCGGGAGAAGTCGAATCGGCGGAAATCGGCACGCGAATAAACCTCCATTGCGAAAGTGGAATCCAAAACGAAATCAAAGTCGAATCGAATCGGAATCGGAAGCCATCGAAATCGAATCGAATCGAGTCGGAGGAATCGAATGAGCACTACAAGCCTGCTCTTGATTGCGCCATGCACTGGGCGCGTGGGGAAAGACCAACCTGCGATCGGTTGCGCCGTAGCTTTCGCACTCGGCAACCGAGAGAGCCCATTGGCCCTCTGTCGGTAGCGCCAAAAAGGTTGGGCATTCGGGGGCCGAAAGTAAGACAGCCTGCCATCAGTTGCGCCACACGTTGTGCACTCGGCGGCCGATTACAAAACGGCCTGCAATTGGTTGCGCCACATGTTGAGTATGCACTCTGCTGTCAAACTCAAAGCAAATCTGCTGTTGGTTACGTCACGGATTGCGCACTCGGCGGCCTGCAAGTGGTTGCGACACACCGTGCGCACGTCGTGGCCGAGAGGAAACCGGCTTGCTGTCGGTTGCGCCGCAAATTGGGCACTCGGCGGCGGAACAAAAAGACGGCCTGCTAGCGCTTGCGCCATAGGTTGCGCACTCGGCGGCTAAGACAAAAACGGTCACTTCACGCGCACGCCCAGTCCTCGAGTAGAGGGTCTACTACATAATTGAAAATGCTCATAATTGAACGGGAAAGCTCATTTTGCTTAGATTTTTTTGGTTTTGGGGGATGGGGGCGTGTGCGCGAATTGCACGCCCAAACGAGATGATTTCACGATTCCGAGTTTGGCTGTCGGAGGCCGCGACGCAAGAACACGAACAACGCCGACGTTCACCGAAGTTCAGTGCATGCGTCGCATAGAGTGCATATGCGAATACGTTTGACGGAAGCCGCGCACAAGGTGCGCCCAATGCGACACTATTGAAGTAAGAACGAGCAACCCTGTCGAATGCGACAACCATGCGCAACTGCAAATGCCGCAAGATAGGTGCACATCAAAAGAAGACAAGGGTTCCCACTGGGAAATGCGCGCGTGTGTGTGTGTGTGTGTGTGTGTGTGCGCGTGTGTGTGTGGAGGGGGGTGGGTGGGTGGGCGGGGGGGGGGGGGGGGGGGGGGGGGGGTGGGGGGGGGGCGACGCGCTGGGACGCTCAACGTGGCCCAAGACGGCTCCAAGAGCGCCGCCTCGGAGAGCCCGAGACGAGCTCCAAGATGGCTCAAGATAGCTTAAGATGCCTCAAGATGGCCCCGAAGATGCTCCAAGAGGCCCCAAGACCGCCCCAAGACGGCTCCATGATGCCAGATAGCCCCCCAAGGAGGCCTCCAAGATGCCAAAATCATTCCAAAACCTAGAAAGGAAACTGATGATTGTTGGCTTCTCGCCTTTTCGCTTTCCGATGGCCTTCTCGCCTTTTCGTTTTTTTTTGAAGCGCATATGACGAAACATATCGGGCGCACGCAACGGCCGCACTCTCGCACGCGCCGTTGCCGCGTCGTCGACCTCGAGAACGAAGGCCCCTTAAAAGGCGGGAACGCAGCAACCCAGATGTTGCCATGGTGAAACGCGGTGAAACATAAACATGTTTAGGGTGCGGCCCTCCCCGCCCTCGCGGGGCGGCCTTGCCCCCTGGGGCGTGGGCGGGGATCGGCGGCGGTGCCGCCCCCCCCCGTGTCGTTTGCGATTTAGAAAGGGAGCTCTTACAATTTCCATTAACAACCATAGTCGCTACTATATCCACTGCGTTTCGCCAAAAACACCCGCGCGACCTTGTGACATAGGGTGCGACACCTCCTCGCGCACGCCACGCTACGTTGCGACGCGTTGCAACGCGACCCCGCAGTGCCCTTCAACACCCTGCAATGCAGACACCCGCGGTACCCTGCAACTCAATGCAAAACAGCGGCGCGCCGCCATGCGAAGCCATGCAATACTGCGCGCGCGGCTGCGCAGGGCCTTGCAATGCCCTGCAACGACCTTGCAACCCCAACTGCCTCCCGCGCATACAACAATAACGTGGTTCTCCCCTCTCTCACAATATGGAGGGTGGGGGGGTGGGGGGAGGGGGGGGTGGGGGGGAGGGGGGGGGGGGGGGGGGGGGGGCAGTGGGGGGGGGGGGGGGGCGCGGGGGGGGGCGGGGGCCGCGAGGGGGGGGGGGGGGGGGGCGGCGGAGGGCGGGCTGTGTAGGGCCGTGCGTTCGGTGACATTCGAGGCGCTGGGAAGGACCCATCGAAAATCCGAGGTGCATTGCGGAAAGCTGCGCGGATACACTAAAAGAACACACCAAAACGAGGCCGCAAGGAGGGGGGCCACCCACGGTGAATGGCGGGCCCGAGACAAACCGCACCAAAGACGGCCCACAGTATCATGGGGAGGAGCGGCAACTTGCACATTGCAATCGGGGTCTATGCGAGCCCGCTTGGGGCCCGCTTGCGCCCCTCTCGGTGCCCATTCTGGGCCCTCTTGAAATTTGATTAGGGCCCCTTGGGGCTGCGAGCGCCATCTTCGGGCGGCGGGGGTGGCGGGGGTGGAGGGGGGTAGAGGGGGGGGGGTTTGAGTGGGTGCGGGAGACAGGGCGGGCGATTGGTGGACGTGGGCGGGACGGGGTTCGGGCGCGGGAAGAGCGCGGGGATGAGGGAGGGGGGTGAGGGGGGGGGGGGCTGCGGGAGGAGGTGGCGGGTAGAAGGGCGCGGGGACGGCGAGAGAGCAAGGGGGTCGATGGAGCAGAAGGGATGCGCACGTAGCGACATGAGGGTTGGCGGGGAGCAAGGCGACGAGGTATGATGGGAGGTGGCGCGGCAGCGGTGAGAAGAACGGGGGTAAAGGGGGCGACGGCAGGTTCTTGCAACCCGCCCATGGCCCGAGAGGGCCTTAGATGATCCCACGAAGGCCCCAAGAACGCCTAGAGACCAACTCTGGAGGAGGCTCAGCAAGGCACCGCAAGGGCCCCATGGCCAATGGGGGAACGAGAAGGGGGGGGGGGGGGCGACCGCTTTCGGAAAGCATCGGGGCCCGATTGGGGCCTTTTTGGTGCCCGCTTAAGGCGCGTTTCGGGATCTTCATTGGGGCGCGCGTGGGCCTATCTTGGCGGCATCGCTGCTACGATGCACGATGGTGCGCTGCATTATGCTGCGCGGCCATGGTCAACGCACCTCGGCTAAGCATGTTCTCTGGATGGGCTGGCGAGGGCACGCGAAGCGCCGCGACGCCCAAACGCAAGGATGCCCCAAGATGCCCCCCACGAAGCCCCCATTAGGCACTCAAGAAGCTCGAAGAGACCCCCGCGAGGCAGACACACCAACCCAAGACGCCCACAAGATGCCACATGAGGCACCAACACTGCCCCCAAGACACTTCAAAACTGCTCCCAAGAGACACCCGAGAAGTCCACCCCGAGACCCCAACGAGCATTCAGCAGCCGCCTGGCCCACAACCCAGACGCGGTGGCGGGATGGGCCGCAGGCCATGTTCTATACGGCAAGGCGGCTTTGCATGCGCAAGGAAAGTTACCGCGCACAGTACAGTCTCAATGCATCGATTTCGACTGCCAGCATGCAAGCATCAAAGAGAAACATGATATACTATAAACCATGGTGCGCTATTGCCTCCTGCAGCCACGTGTAAACTTGCAGCTTCGCTTGTTCCTCCGACCGCATCCTGCCAAACGTCGCTGAATGCGACTTGCTGCCCCTGTATTCGAGGCCGTGCGGTAGCTTTGCAACCCAGTAGGGCGAGCGCATCAGCGGCTCGACCAAACAAAATTGACACGTCAGCGGAACGCGGCTGAA